AAAAAACCCAAACCCCAAAGATAAAATATAAACACCAGGGAAAGCGATTGATCTAGAATTCGTTCCTTTTTTCCTTTCTCGCCCCTCTTAGCTGACATGGTGATGAAAAGAGAGGATTAAAATGGGCTTCTTTAAAGCCAAATTTTTATTAGGAAATGATTAAAAGCACATTGTGTCTCTTAAAGTGAAGTTTTGCTCTTTTTTGGCCCAGCCTTCTGCAAAATATTTTCAGAAGAAAGCAAGAGAAAAGGAGAGGGGGAAAAAACGTAGATCCTTGTAACTTTTAATAATTCATAGATAATATCTGTGGAGTTTTCCATTCGCTTTGTATGTCCAGTGTTCACTGAAAACCCAGTGTTCTCATGAAGACAGGTCTACATCCAGAATGGATTTTTGCGTCAGAAACTGCTACAAATCTTTTGTTTGGAGATCTGTTTTGAACTATAAGTACCGTAACAGTTGAGAATCCACCCAGGCAGGAGCTAAACTATGAAAGCAGAGGAACGGCATGGGAAAATTTAAATTCTCTTTGTGCACCACCACTTTCCCCGCTGCCTCCCAAAAAAGAAAGGTACACAAAACAGAATTACAGTTATTACCTCCACTGAAAACTTCCAATGCACATTGCATATGACTTTTTGGAATCCTAAGGGATTTATCTTCTATACCTTTGCGTATCTGGAGAATTGCTGGCCAGCTCTGGCTTTATAGAGAGGTCAAGGGCTTTAGTAATGAAGTAAGTACTACAGCACTAATTTTGTGACAAAAGCTTTTTCCTTTTTGATTTTAAATCTGTGTGGTGTGACATGGTTGGGGTATGCCTGCCATGTAGTAAGAAAGTAAAACAATTTATTGGAAAGAAAAGGGTGAAAATACTGTCTCCTGAATTCTGTGCAGGGGACCTGACAGAGAACTGTAGTAAGATGCTCTGTTTATTCTGTTGTTCCTGAAGGTGCAGTGGGCTGTCACCTTGCTGCAAAGGGGCAGAAGATGCTGAGATCAAAGCAGGCGGTGGAAAACTAAGCAGAAAGCTGTGAGGTGCAATACAGACTTCTCCTAAGAGAAGTCTGTGATTCTCAAATACAGAGCAAGGGATTTGTTCCAGGCATCCATGTCTTTATTTTCAATCAAAATATTTATGTATTTTCACTTATATTTACTTAAAACTCCAAACACCCAAAATTTGTGAAGAATTAATGCCTAGGGACTTTTGTTTCAGGGTAACGAAAGCAGAATGGATACCATTCTTAAGTGTATTTGTCCAGAAACACCATCAAGTGTTCATCGATCCCTAGCATACAACGACTTACTGTTGCCACCTCCACTGACACGCTCTGGGGACTTACTCAAAGAACTGTGGGTGAATTTAAGATGAAAAAGTTAAAAATGGCTTCAGAAGTCTCCTCATAAAACAGGAATTTGGATGGACAGGCAGATCTCTAGGTAACCCTATAAATCCATCTTTAAATAAAGAATCTGGTAAATCTAATTCTCCTCCACTTCCTGTGTTTATTCTAGCTATAAAATAAATCTAGCTTTGTGAAATTACTTTAGCTGTCCATGTCTGATGGTAGTGTGAGCTGGTTAAGAATCATTGTTACTATGATTATTGTTCTGTTGCTGTTGTGGTTCAAGCCTCTCGCCATCTATAGGCCACCCAAGCACTTTCACTAGGACAGCCATGTGTATGAGCCATTGGCTTCTATCCAACCTGTAAAATGCTTGTAATTGTGGAGTCCCATTGAAATGAAATCAGTGAAACAGGGCTCTGCTCTTAGAAATGATGCACAGAATCCAGAGATCCTGCAGACCGTTACTTCTTTATTATGAAATGATTCCTTCTGTTCTTTGGATCTGTTTATTAATTGAGAAATACCCTGCTGTTGTTAGCAGAATCACCTGAAAAGATGCCCACAATCCAAAGGGCAGTACTGTAAAATCTGTTCAATAGCTGACCTACATTTTCTGGATACTGGGACGAAATCTGCTGGCACAGTTGAAATAGTGGTCAGCCCCCAGGCAGCCTCATGCTTAAGTTGACACAGGATTCTGGTAACAGTGTTTAAGAATTAAAAGATGGCTCATTATGGCTTGGGGTTTTGTTTTTTTTGTTTTCCCTACTAAGTAATTCTCCCTACTTGTGAAATGCAAAATAAAGAATTTTAATTTTTAAATGAATTTACCAGCCTCATTAGAAAATGCTGTCATGTGTTATTTCAGAGCTGTGACACAGATTAAGGCACCAATCTCGCAGTATACCTAAGACATTTTACTGCTTATGGCTCTCCCCTGTGAGAGGTAATCTGCAATTACCTGAAAGCCCTTGATTTGAGGTGTGTGGAATAACAGCAGCGGGGAGGTGATCCTGCCCCTCTGCTCTGCTCTTGTGAGGCCCTACTTGGAACACTGTGTTCAGTTCTCGTGTTCTCAACATAAGAAGGACATGGAGCTATTGGAACAAGTCCAGAGAAGGGCCACGAGGATGATCAGGGCACTGGAGCAGCTCCCGTATGAAGACAGGCTGAGAAAGTTGGGGCTGTTCAGCCTGGAGAAGAGAAGGCTGCGTGGAGACCTCATAGCAGCCTTCCAGTATCTGAAGGGGGCCTATAGGGATGCTGGAGAGGGACTCTTCATTAGGGACTGTAGTGATAGGACAAGGGGTAATGGGTTCAAACTTAAACAGGGAATGTTCAGGTTAGATATTAGGAAGAAGTTCTTTACTGTGAGGGTGGTGAGGCACTGGAATGGGTTGCCCAGGGAAGTTGTGAATGCTCCATCACTGGTGGTGTTCAAGGCCAGGTTGGAGGAAGCCTTGGGTGGCATGGTTTAGTGTGAGGTGTCCCTGCCTATGGCAGGGGGTTGGAACTAGGTGATCTAAGGTCCTTTCCAACCCAAACCATTCTGTGATGCCTTGATGAACTGTGGGTAGCAAGCAATACAGTGATCCCTCCCCTGCTTCCTGAAAGTCTGTCTTAGAAGAGGTGCTGAGGTACAGAAATGGTTTATCGGGAAGGTGCTTTGTTGCTGTTTCCATAGGGGTTACGTTCAAGGCAGGTGGATTGAGAGTAACCAAATAGGTGGTTTTATGTGTGCTAGTAACCAGTTTAATTTAGGAATTTAACGCCAGGCTTACCCTGTTGCAGGGGTGTTCCAACACACATTGCTGAAAATCATCTGAATTTTAAAATTATGTACAGGGATGAAAAAGTTGGCTCACTAAGGTCAGGATTCAGTCTCCAGTTCTGCATGAATATAAGGAAACAAAGTGTAATCTCTTATATCTTTCACTGTTTTCTTTAAAAAAACCCCAAACCTCCCAGGTCAATTTTTGTGGCTTAAGAGGAATTGCAATTGCTCAGAACAGCACGGTCTGAAACTTTTTCCTTAATAATTGGAGCCAGTAGATGCTCCCAGTAGTGAAGTTTCTTTCTTTTTCTCCTTAATTGCAAGCACCAGCAGAAAGCTGTATTTAAGACACAGACAATAGAATAAATAGCTGACCTGATGGAGCGTGCTTGGGCTGTAGCCAGAAATCTCATCAGTGGATGCTCTTTCCTTTGGGAAATGGTGCTTTCTCTTGGCTTAGTAAGACTTGTAGTAACCTATTTAAAAATAAAAGATGTTTTATTTTTTCTTGTTTTATTTTAAACCAAACCTTTATTTTTATAAATTATCAAATTCCAACAGAGTGGTCCAATAGGCTGTAACCCTTTTAAGAATAGGAGAAAATACTACTATTTGTGAATTACAGATTGGTTCTGCTTTTAGTTATATCAATATGCATCCCAGAATACGTGTTCTGAATTTATTAGATTTAGATAACCCTGGGTGAGACTGATATTATAACTCGGTTCTGTAAAATATTGGGTTATTTCCAAAGTGCCACATATATAATACCCGTGGTCTGGAATTCTCTCCCAAGTTCCAGCATACAGAGGCTGCAGCATAAATTTATCCTCAGCATATTAATTATCTGAATAATCAAAGTGAATGCGTACAGTTGCTGTTTGCTGGAGACTTCATCTGGTGGTCAGGGGCAGAGGAAGTGCCAGCTAAATAACAGCTTGCTCCAAACTGTTGGAGGCTGATGTTGACCCCACATTAAAGAAAGCCAACAGCTGTGCAAGGAACCAGAGACTCTTCCTTTTCTACCCCTGTGGGGTTGCTATGGGGACGTGGGTATAAGAACCATTAATATGGACTGGCAGCAAGTGAAGGAAATCTGTTTTAAATGATCTAAATATAAACCATGGCGTTCAGCTTGGCATACCAGTCATGGACTGGTGCTATACCCTGTTTGACCAGTGAATTTGTCATATGTAGAGCAAATGGAAAGTGTCTCTTCTTAACTCTTCTTAGTGACCAAAGATGTTTTATTTGTAAAATTTCTTTATATATGTTGTTGGCTGTGACATAGATGAGTAATTTAAGGAGTGCAGAGCCAGCTCTTGAAGGAAAAAGTGATTCTTCTAGGAACAAAAAATGACAGTTACGAAAGTTACATTTCTAATCTTGGAGTGAGGACCAGAGCTCATTTTCTGCCTGAATTTGTTATCTGGATAATCAAAGTTAAGCACTGTTTTTTTAGCTCTTTGGATTAAAACAATTGTCTGTCGCTGTTCAAGAGAGTTGCCTCCTAAATTTAAACTAGCAACCAGATTGGTCCTTCCTGCTGAGAAAGTTATGCAGATTGCTTGGGGGCTGTCATGTGGTGGTGGGATTTATGTGGCTATTCCAACCCCACTGCTCATGTGAAACGGGCAATCTTTCACAAAGTCACCAGGTTTGCAGAAAACTTCAAGTGCTGAAGTCACTCTTCTTGGAGAAAGGAAAAACCCCACTCTCTTTAGACTGATAAGAGGTAAAAAATAAAGTGAAATACAATTCAGATTTTTAGGAGACTCACTTTCGAGTTCACCAGAATAATGCTGCCCACGATCTACTTCTGTTTCTTATATCAGTTTACATATATAAATATATTTATTCTCATTTTCTTTTAGGTGATCCTGATCCTTACCAAGTATTATCATACTGACATGGGAAAGGTGCTGGAGAGCTCTTTGTGGAGGTAAGTTCTCTGCTTTTCCTGTAGCCTTCCCCACTTTCTGTTCTCAGAACAGATCCATATCTTTTTTTTCCTTTCCAAACTGCTGCTGAGTCGAGTTGGTAGCTGATTGATTTTAATAGATCAAGATTACTCATATTGCCATTAGCTTTTACTCTTCTTCCTTAAATACGATTCCTGAAGTTCAATAACAGTTTGAAGTGGGTTTTAACAGTGGAGACAAACAATGCTAGTATAAGGTAACTTCCTAATCCCTCTTTGCAAGATGCCATTCTTTTTCTTTTCCTTAGAAATTTTGCATCAAAGTTACATAAAAACTTAAGAATACTTACTGTTTTGGGATGTGTCTGTTGGGAGATCTTGGTGCCTTTGAGTATTGTACTGAGGTTAGTAAATAATCCTGATTTGGAAGTGGTCATGATTGTCTGGATGAAATATAATACCAGTGCAGGTTATATTGTGTTTCACGAGAACTGGGAATACGTAGTAATCCAAATAAATTTCTAAACTGATTCTCATTTCCTTAACATTCATAAATTAGGAGATTAGTATTCCTGTTGGCTGTGTGCGCACAAATTGCACCCTGAGGTGTATAAGAGCACAAACCCAGGGCTAGGGTAAGCCTATATTATAATAGTTACAGTGGTTACCTTCTCATGTGTTAATTTTGTTGTGCTAAGTAGACTTTTGTGCTCTGATTTGCTGTGTACCTGTATAAGTCTTCCACCACAATTTTTTACTCGACCCATCAGGTGTGCTTCAAAAGTGACAGTATTTCACTGTTACTGATAAACATAATATTGCTCCAGTATTTGCTACGGTAGTTTTGCTGGGATATCTGTAGCAGTAGAAACATTCTGTCTGGGTATCTTAGTAGCTGTTATAAATGACAGTAGACTTACTTAGGAAGTCTTATGTGAAATTCTTATGTAGCCCGTAAGCTTCAGGTATAGAAACAAACGAGTTATCTAATACCTCATGGCTTAGGTATTTGTAAGCATAATACTTCTCAAGAGCTTGTATGGGGACTCAGCCTTCATCTGTGTGTAAGGAGCTTTACAGGAACAATCCAAGCAAAGCAACAGGCAAGGGAATAGGGAGTAAAAGTCTGAGACCAGGGCATGCCGCATGCCAGCCTTGTTACTTGTGAAGGAGGCTGCATTGTTTTAACCCTGTAGGATCTCTCATAGTGACAGTTTACTTTGTTACCTTGTTGTAATACTGGTGGCTGAATAGTACAGTCTGTCCAGGGGCAGTGGTCCATGCAGCACAAGGGTATTTTCAAGTAAAAAAGAAAGTTTTATTTATAAAAAACGGGGTGTTCAAAGAAGTAAGTACAAATGGAGACTGCCAGCTCTTGACTCAGGATTAGCCTTTTTGGGGCTATGATGTTTCATTTGTAATTATCATTTAAACTTACAAGATGCAGAATTAATTGCACATTTGTTCTGTTTTAATTTTTGGTCCAACATCTTGTGTAAAGAAGACAACCAAATGGCAATTTGGATACTCCCATAATTGCGTAAGCTCACATTACTTTCCTGTTATATGCCCCTGGCCTATACAACATGTGCAATATGTTTCAAGTTTTGCTATCCACACTTCAGTGTAATCTATCATAGAAGTCTTTTAAACTTATTCAGTCAGACTCTTCAAAATAAACTCTCTGCTCTTTTGAAATAAACATAAAACAGGCTTCAGATAATGTTGCTTTCTTTTGAGAACATAAACACTTCAAACAAGGTCATTCAGACCTTGCTGACAGCTGGTGTAAAGAAGAACTGGTGTGAACTGCATTCAAATAAAATTGATGCTAGCATGCATCATAGGGAAATCAGGCCCTTTTACTTACAAGTAATAGATGTACCAGATGCTCTGGTTGTTTATAAAACTAGGATGGAAAAGCTGAAAGGAAGTAAGTGCTAAAGAGTAGCACTTAGGGTAGGGGTAGCAGCTGATCCATGCCTAAATATGCTGTGCTCTGGGCTCACCTCCCTTTCTCCTCCTCTGCCCACCTTGGTGTAAAAGTGGCACTTGTGGTTGTCAGATGGCGGGAGTTACAAAGCGCCAGGATATGGAAAATACACGAGACCAACTAATGCAAAAATATCAAATGTTGCCTCTCTCTGTTGAGATGTAGCTAATTATTTACACTAAATCAAATGAAAATAAACACTGAGTGGAGCTGGCTGAGAACGCAAGGAGCTTCTGTGGTTTTTCTCTGGGTAAAACACTTGGGTGTGAATTGGTAAAGCTCCCTGTTTGCTGACGGAGCCAGGATGTTGTGCTCACATCGGCAGCCTGCCCAGAATGCACAGTGTGTATAGTTTTAAACTTTGTTATTTGATTCTCTTTTTCATTTCTCTCATTTGCAGAACAAATGCATGGTAAAAGAGATATAAAAAACGGCATAGGCTTTTTTGTCAGTGGACAAAAGTCATTAATCTTTGTGAGGTTTCTGTGCCCTAGTGGGAATCCTGTCCAGTTACTTTCTGAATCAGCCCAAAGTTTTGGGCTTCTTTTTTTTTTCAATTTTTTTTTTTCTATTTTTTTTTCTATATTATTCTCTTTTTCGTTTTTTTTTTTCCTATTTTTTACCTCTTCCTATCTTGCCTGCCTAGATCATACCAGACACTTAAGATTCTCTAAGTGAAAATAAACCTGTGCTAGAAACTGATCAATCCCCACCAGTTTAGCTTGTTAATGTTGTTCATCCCCTACTTTTATGTTGTCAGTCAATAAACATTATCCTCCCTTGGCATTTATTTGTTATTTTGTTTCTAGTAACTGCTCTTTTTCTTTCTCTGAAACTCTTAATCACTCTTTTGCCCATAACTCAGAAGAATTTTAGTTTTTTATTTCCTAGCTTCATGGAATAGGGAATGAGAAGGGAAGGGTGACTCAGTGGTCTGGTGATGCTTATTTGTTCTTAGTGACCTTGGAGTTAGACTTTCAACACTAATGCAAATGGTGGGGAAAAACACCAGTCGGAGGCACATGCCAGGGGGGACTGTATTCTTTTTTTCCTCATGATTTTCTGTGCCTCTGCAGAGCAGTGTTAATTTGTGTAGGTAATTTATGCCTGCCCACACAAGGCAGGTTACAGGACTGGGAGGCCGAAATTTTTATTACCTTGGCATTCTTTCACTGTTGAATAAACAGGGAAAATAGTGTTGGATAATGCAAGTTTGACTTTTTGCTAGTAGCAGCCGTGGCTGGTTACACTGAACGGGTGGAGGAATAAATCTTGGTGGAAGCATGTAGTTAGAAAACATCAGGGTGTTTCTGATACTTTGCTAATTTGCTTATTAAGTAATTGTTAAGGTTGGGGTAAGCTGTATAGTTATTTGACTCAAGAAAAGGTAGGGAAATAAACAGATAACATTAGTTGCCTCTTGAATATGAATTAACTTACTGAGAAGGAGCAGAGGATTGGTTGCAGGTTTATTTTTAGAGGTTTCTAAATCCAGTACGACTTGGGAATACAGTTTGGTTGTTCTGTTAGGCCTCATTAGCATAATGAAAAAAGATAGTGTGACCAAAACTTAACTTAAAATGTGGGTACTAAGATTATCTTCACATATTTGTACATATAGTGAAGATACTTTGCATGCTAACGCTGTTCCTGTCAGAATCCACACGCATCTTTCTCCAGCACACTTACAGTATGGAGGAACCAAATCAAACCATTTAGGATAACAGACACTTGAGTAGGTGTTTTCATATACTTTATGGACCAGTTTGTGCATATGTATACAGGTACACATACTATGCAACCTCAGGTGCCTCTTAACGTACGTTGCATGCCTGCAGCTTTAGAAGTATGCACTTGAATCTTAACTATTGTAACTTTGAATTGGTAGCCACTGAGAAATTAATGCTAATACTTACCTGTGCAACTGGGTTAATCATAATAACATGTTTTGGAGATTATTATTATTATTACATTTTATACATGGGATGGTAACTGATTGCTGAAGGTTATGCAATGACTCAGCATTATGTGGCCATAGAATTGGCTTAGAGTCCTGTTTCTGGTAAGCATGCAGTCTTCCCTTCTTAGCTTAATCTAAGCAATGAATAATAGATGCTGATGATGATTGCTAATAAAGTTTTGATTGCATATTATCAAGCTGTAATGATATGGTAGTGCTAAAGCGACTTGCTGTGTAATTGCCATTGTTCCCAATGGCATCACCACAGCAATAGTTATTGCTTCACCACAGCAAAACAAATGGCATTATTTGATGTTAACTGCACTGTTAACTCCTCTTAGCATTGTATGCTGAACCCTAGGAGCTCCTGTCATCAGAGATGTTGGGATATTTTGTCACATGTTGTCAATAATGAATTGCCAAATGAAGGAACAGACTTCCCTGCCTGCTTCAATATGGTTGGATACCCTATTTGAACTTCCTGGGACCCTTTACTCCAAATGCAGCCTGAGGAAGGAGTGAAGTTCACTGCTGTGTGAGGAGGTTATGAGTCCAAGTCAGTGGCTGGGCAGCAGGAGGTGGTAGCCATTGGTTGAGCCTCACTAACAGCATAAGAATTGGCAAACCTCAAGGAGTCAGGAAAATCCTACCTTTGGCACAGCTGTTTCTACCTGCACCCACAGAAAGCCACAAATCCAGGGCAAGACCCCTTTGTGCAAGCCCATTGGCCGTCAGTAGCGATGAGTGTGCAGTGACTGCATGGTGCTCTGGGCATTTAGCAAAGGTGTATGCCTACACTAAGCTTAAAATCCAGGCTACAAAGAGCAGGAGATTCTTTTAAGGTAGTGAACAACATATACAGTGAACAACATACCACTCAGGAAAGTAAAATTCCCACAGTGTGAGAAAACAAGTGTGGGCATTTGTTTCCAAACTGTTTGGGCTTGTAGGTGAAACTCATTTTGCCTGTTTCCTGGAATTCTTTTAAAAAGCAAAATAAAGAACCCCAGTAAATGGTCTGGTGCCCCACTGAAATTTCTTATTGGTGTGGAGTGCTGCTTAGTAAGC